CCCCACCACGTCCAGGGCCACACCCCCACCACGTCCAGGGCCACACCCCCACCACGTCCAGGGCCACAACCCCACCACGTCCAGGGCCACACCCCGGGGCCACGTCCAGGGCCACACCCTACCACGTCCAGGGCCACACCCCCACCACGTCCAGGGCCACACCCCACCACGTCCAGGGCCACACCCCAGGGGCCACGTCCAGGGCCACACCCCAGGGGCCACGTCCAGGGCCACACCCCGGGGCCACGTCCAGGGCCACACCCCGGGGCCACGTCCAGGGCCACACCCCCACCACGTCCTGGGCCACACCCCCACCACGTCCAGGGCCACACCCCAGGGGCCACGTCCAGGGCCACACCCCACCACAGCTAGGGCCTACCCCGGGGCCACGTCCAGGGCCACACCCCCACCACGTCCAGGGCCACACCCCAGGGGCCACGTCCAGGGCCACACCCCTGGGGCCACGTCCAGGGCCACACCCCTGGGCCACGTCCAGGGCCACACCCCGGGGCCACGTCCAGGGCCACACCCTCACATCCAGAGCCACATCCCTAGGGGCCACGTCCAGGGCCACACCCCCACCACGTCCAGGGACACACCCCGGGGCCACGTCCAGGGCCACACCCTCACATCCAGAGCCACATCCCTGGGGGCCACGTCCAGGGTCACATCCCTGGGGGCCACGTCCAGGGCCACACCCCTGGGGCCATGTCCAGGGCCACACCCCGGGGCCGCATCCCCCTGTGTCTGGACTAGTGGCTGTCCTGCCAGGGCCACGCCTTGCTTGAACTCGGGCCCGGGCACTGTCTCTGAGCTTTTTTACTTAAGGCTAGTGCTCTACCACCCGAGCCACAGCTCCACCTCAGCGTTTTGGCAGTTAATTGGAGATGAGAATCTCATGGGCTTTCCCGTCATGGCTGGCTTTGAACCGTGATTCTCAGATCTCAGCCTTCTGCTGGAATCGCAGGTGTGAGCCATGGTGTGCGGCTCTCTGTGGTGCCTTTTGAAGCACCTCTCCTCCTCCTGAGCCACGAAGCTACTAAGGAATTTCTAGAGAAGAGGTCGTGTGTGACCTCGAGGTCATGACCTCCGACCCGGGGGCCACAGCCACTTTCTGAGACGCACTTGTTAAGATTCCCGGATGGGTTTTAAACTGGAGAGATTTCAACATTTGAAAACGGGACGATTGTCTAAGGGGTCTGGGTGAGTTCCAGCTCAGGGGCCGCACGGACCGAGCCGCTGCCTTGGGCTGGGCTTGGAGCTGACCGTCCACCCCCCTCCCTTGGGCTGACCATCCACCCTTCCCTCACTTGGGCTGACCGTCCAGCCCTCCCTCACTTGGACGGGGCTTGCGGCTGACCGTCCACCTCCTCACTCAGGCTGACTATCCTCTCTCCACCCCCCCTCACTTGGGCCAGGCTTGTGGCTGACTATCCACCCCCTCCCTCGGGCTGACTGTCCAGCCTTCCCTCACTTGGATGGGGCTTGTGGCTGACCATCCACCCCCCGCTCACTTGTGCTGACCATCCACCCCCTCCCTCAGGCTGACCGTCCACCGCTCACTTGGACAGGGCTTGTGGCTGACCGTCCACCCCTCCCTCAGGCTGACTGTCCAGCCTTCCCTCACTTGGACGGGGCTTGCGGCTGACCGTCCACCCCTGCTCACTTGTGCTGACCGTCCACCCCCTCCCTCGGGCTGACCATCCACCCCTCCCTCACTTGGACGGGGCTTGTGGCTGACCGTCCACCCCCCTCCCTCGGGCTGACTGTCCTCCCTCCACCCCCCCTCACTTGGGCCTGGGTTGGGGCTGGCCGTCACCTCCTCCCTCGCGGTGCTGTCTGGCCGCCCCCGTGTGGGTGTGGGTGCAGGGTGGAAGTCCCGGCCTCACCCAGGGGTCCTCACGGAGGCCAGGGTGGTGAGTCTGGAGGCTTCTGGAACCTTTAAGAAAGCCATCAGGTGCCGCCGCCACCGGCAGCCCTCTCCCACACATGAGGTCCACGCCCTTGTTTGGCGTTCTCCGCCTTCACATCCACTCAGAACTGTGCCCAGTCTGTTGGGGGCAGCGGTCATCCCTGACCTTGGTCCTGCCCCACATTCAAGCCCAGCTCAGCAGGGGTGGCGACCCCAGCTCAAAGACGCCTCCGTCCTGGGAAGCGCTGAGGCCTCATCTCCAGTTTGGTCTGGATGGCCAGGCTTCTGCGTGGACTGGTGTGGGCAGCTGGAGAAGCCGGCCCGAGTCGGTGGCTCACGCCTGTCATCCCGGCTACTCAGGAGGCTGAGATCTGAGGATCACGATTCAAAAAGCTAGCTCAGGCAGGAGAGGCCGTGAGACTTCTGTTCTTTTCCTTTCCCCTCCCTCCTTCCCTTCTTCCCCTCCCCTCTCACTCTCCTTCTTTTTTTTTTTTGTTGGTCATGGGGCTTGAACTCAGGGCCTGGGTGCTGTCTCTGAGCATTTTATTCAAGGCTAGTGCTCTATTACTTTGAACCACAGCACCACTTCCAGTTTTCTGGTGGTCAGTTAGAGATAAGTCTCATGGACTTTTGCCTGGGCTGGTTTTGAACCACAATCCTCAGATCTCAGCCTCCTGAGTAGCTAGGATTGTAGAAGTGAGTGACCTGTGCCTGGCTTGAGAGTCTTCTTTCTAACCAGCAAAAAGCCATACGTGGAGCTGCTGCTCAAGTGGTAGAGCATCAGCCTTGAGCAAAAAAAAAAAAGCTAAAGGACAGCACCTAGGTCCTGAGTTCAAGTCCCAGTAGCACCAAAAAGAAAAAAGGAAACTGGGGTTGTGTTGTGGATTTACCTTGGTCCAAGCCACGGAGCCTGTCTGAGGTTGTGGTGGACGGTGGCTGCCCCCCCCCCCCCGGTCTGTTGGAGCTGACCAGCTCCCGCTTTGGCCCTCCGGTGACCCACGGTGGTGGATTCCCCAGGGCAGGGCTCCCGTCTCTCACCCTGGGCGAGCAGCCGCTGGGGTCTGCGGGCCCTGCCTCCTCTCCCAGCGCACGGCTCGTTCCCCAGGGCACGCGTGGAGCCGCGGCCTCGGCCGCCTGCGTTCCCGCAGCCGTCACCAGGCCCGGCTTTGCCCGCTTCCTGGTCATTTCTATGTCCTCCTCACTGAGGTCCCTCAGTGGTCCCAGAAAATCCCTGTCCCAGAAAACCACCTGGGGTTGGTGCTTCACGCCCGTCCTAGCCGCGGAGGGCGAGACTGGGCCGACCTCCGTTCCAGTCCAGCCAGGGCAAAAAGTCCTCAGTAAACTGGTGTGGAAGCGCGGTCCCGTCCCCTCGGCTACGGGATGCGGCAACAGGGAGGTCGAAGTCCAAGGGAGAGCATTTTAAAAAAAGAAAAGCTACCGGAGGTAGAGATCCACCTTAGCAAGCACAAGGCCCTGAGTTAGAATAAGTACGTGGATAAATGAAGCTCATGAGCCAGGACAGACAGACAGACAGACAGGCAGGAGGGGTGCCACTCCTGTCAGGGTTGTGTGCGGCTCACGTTCCAGCGGTCGCTGGACCGGGCCGCAGAGCACAGGCCGGCCCCAGGCCGTGACCCCACGCCCAGGCCGTGACCCCACGCCCAGGCCGGCCCCAGGCCATGACCCCACGCCCAGGCCGTGACCCCACGCCGCCGGCCTGCGGTAGATGTAAGAAGACTCAGAACAGGCCGCACTTCTGGATAAGTGCTTGTGTGGGTTAGAAATAGTCTCAATGAGGGTGATGCTGGCCACGCTGCAGACGGGGCGGTGCGTCAGGGGAGCGTCGTGAAGGGAAGGGCCCCCCCTCCGGCCGCGTGCTCTCGGTGTGCGCGAGGTCGGGAGGCCCCTCGCGCCGGCCCCGCTGGCCACAGACGTGTCCTGACCACCAGCGGGCATCTGCTGTGCACACCTCTCGCAGTTACCGCAAGAGTGGGTGCCCGTACCGCTCACGCCTGTAATCCCAGCTACTCGGGAGGCTCAAGTGTGAGGGTGGCGGTTCCAGGCCAGCCTGGGGTGACGCACCTTGCTCCTGGGTGAAGCTGGGGGGGGCGCACAAAGAGCTCCGCCTCTGCCCATCCCCGTCCCCTGGGGCTGTGGGTGTCACCTAGATGGATCGCCAGGGGCCTGGGCCTGAGTGGGGTCTGTGAGCGGGTTCCTGATGTCCTCGGGGCTGGGGTTAGGACCCTCCTCCCGGGTTCTGTACAGACATGGCTAGACCTGGCATGGGGGGGGGCGGGGGGTGTGGCCTGGCACAGTACCGGGGCCGGGGCAGCCTGTGGGTGTGCCCCGTACCACCATTTACTGATTTGTATGTGACCCCCACCTGTCATTGTCACCCCAAGGGGCTGCCTGACCCCCACAGCCACAGGTCTCCGTGGTCCCCGGGTGGGGTGGGCAGCGGCTCCGTGGGTCCCTGAGCGTGGGTACCATGGGCCGTGCCTGGGTTTGTCTCCCAGAGACGCCCTTGACCCTGGCCGCCCAGCTGGACGCGTCGGCGGAGGTCATCATAGCTCTGCGGAATGGTGGGGCGCACCTGGACTTCCGCGCCAGGGACGGGCTGACCGCCCTGCACAAGGCCGCCCGCGCCAGGAACCCGCTGGCCCTGAAGGTATGGCCCGAGCGGGCCTGGGGCCCTGCCCAGCCCGGCCCCCGGCGGCCAGGCGGCGGGCCGACCCTGCCCGATGGGGCTCTGGGAGCGTGGGCCGGTCTCACCGTTCCCCGGGGCCTTGCGGGGGTTGGAGGCCGTTGTCCAGCTCGGCTGGCCCCTGGTGGCGTGGAACCTGCTCGGTGCCTGGCCTCTGGGGCTCTGCACCCCCGTGTCGGGACGGCGTTGGGGCCCCACCCCTCCCTCGGCCGGTGACGGAGTCCGTGCCTCTCCGCAGACGCTGCTGGAGCTCGGGGCCTCTCCGGACTACAAGGACAGCTGCGGGCTCACGCCGCTCTACCACACGGCCGTGGTGGGCGGCGACCCGTGCTGCTGTGAGCTGCTCCTGCGCGAGCGCGCCTCCGTGTGCTGCCGGGACGAGAACGGCTGGCAGGAGATCCACCAGGTACGGCCAGGACCGCGCTCGCGGGCGCGGGTGCTGGGTGCAAGGTTACGCGCAAGCCCAGCGCCAGGGAGGCGAGGGACGGGGTGCAGCCGCCTCCCTCCAGGGTGTTTGGAGGGGAGTGGGGGGAGGGGTCAGGCCTGTGGTTTGCCTGCTTGAGTAATTTCAGGATTTGGGGATCCCTGGTTGTCTGGTTCCTGCCCTGGGCACTGGGCGCTGCTGGGCGCTGCTGGGCGCTACTGGGTGCTGGGTGCTGGGCGCTGGGTGCTGGGGGCTGAGTTGGTGGCAGGAACTCAAGGGCTCCGCCTTGGGGCTGCTTCTGAGGTCACACGCGTACATCCAGGAAGCAGCGCCAAGCGGGTCTGCGGGGGCCGAGACACCCGGGTCACCCAGTGCAGAGGCCTGCGCAGCTCCCCTCCCCCCTCCCCGGTCCCCCTCC